TATATTCCATTAAGCACAAAGTTGTATTTTACATTCTAATTTTCAAAAGAAACCTACGTCATTGTTCACAGATCAAAGAAGAATTACGTTCATTTAACTAAATTATGTTGTGCATATTAAGAAGGAAAAAAAGAAAATCGAAACAATTCCTTTTGTTTTTAATGATGTTATTATATTTGAGTGTTCCACCAATAGCAGTGAAAGAGATGATGCAATTGTCACTTTCCATCTGCATATTGACCAATAAGATCTACTTTAGTGTACTGATAAACTGAGTAAGTTTCGTTTGTTTAGGCATACTATATGTTATGAGCCTAAATAGTATTCTCGCAGGATAAGTTAAAAGGCCCTTGCATAATAATTAATCGTGAATTATAAAACTTACTAGTAATTTGAATTGTTAGCATAACTGAGCTATCATAACGTGACATGAAGGACTGAAGAACCTAATATTTACAACAGAACCTCTTTATCAACTACATTGAAATGATGAAAGATAGCAACCAACGAGAGTGATAAATCATATTTTTATCGTAGAACGTTGAATTATTTCGGAATATCTTTTTTTAACTAGGTGGCGTTGAGAAATCCTTAATATCTGTCACCAGATTTCCTATATCTTGTATAAAATTAGTATTTTATAAACTTAAATATCTGCCCTCCAGTGGCTCAGCGGTAAGTCTGAAGGCTAAAAGCCGGGCTTTAATACCCGTGTTGAGCACAACATAGATAGCCAATTGTGTATCTTTGCACTTAACAACAAAACAAATAATTTAACCACATATCTTTTGTTTTGTACAAATATATACTGTTAATAGAGTATATAAATAAACATTAATAAATAAAATTCTATTTTTTTTTGTATAAATAGCTCAAGTGTGTGGTTCAGAAGGACGTTAAGATACTCCGTCAAGAGCTGGTCAAAAAGAAAATTCAGATTACTTTGACACGAAATCAAGAGCAGTCAGCAACGGACAACTCCAAACGGAACAGTTGTATCAAAGTTGTTTAGTCAGTCAATAACATTCAGCAATATACACCTTCAAACGGAATAGTTACATCAAAGTTGTTTGGTCAGTCAATAACATTCAGCAATATACACCTTCAAACGGAATAGCAACATTAAAGTTGTTTAGTCAGTCAATAACAGTCAGCAATAGACAACACAAAACGGAATAGTAACATCAAAGTAGTTTAGTCAGTCAATAACAGTCAGCAATAGACAACACAAAACGGAATAGTAACATCAAAGTAGTTTAGTCAGTCAATAACAATCAGCAATAGACAACTCAAAACGGAATAGTTACTTTAAAGCGGCTTAGTCAGTCAATAACAGTCAGCAATAGACAACTCCAAATGGAATAATTACATCAAAGTTGTTTAATTAATCAGCCAATGCGAAATTAAGAAAAATTCGCGCCTGAAATATTCCATTCAGAACAGCTATACATCAAACTTGTTTGGTTACTTTTATGTATATTTATAAGCAGTGGCGACGCCAAGAGGAGGCGAAGGGTCGCAGGTGGCACCCTGAAATTTATCTGCCTCCTCTAAAATTTTCACACAAAAAAAGTTAAGTAAAAGTTACGTTTCCAAAATACAATGTTTTCAGTTACTAGGCAACCCTACACAAGAAAAACCCACTTAACATCACATTATCTAATTTCTAGGTAGCTCTTAGTGCTTCTTAATTTATTTTTCATGGGTTTCGTTCCACTAATCTTCTAGATATGAAAAAAAACCTTCGCCCCTCCCCCAAGCATCTGTCATCCATTCACCTCCCCATTTTCAGAATCCTGGAGTCAACACTTCTTATAAGCGTATGCTGGAATCTGTATGTGAAAAACTGGCTCCTCCTTCCCCGTGATAACTTTATTCCGGAATCAGGACTATCGAAATAGAGATAGTTTCCAAGACGTAATATGGGTGACATTTTACTCCCATAAAATGGCAAACAGGAAATAATTTGAAGTATGTGAATTTTCCCACTTCTTTGAATGTCTCTACGTACTTTAGTGTTAACATAAAAGTGCGATAATTCGAACTAAATATTGTTTTATTAATATTATATGTAAGAGTATGGATAAATTGTTAACAGGAATAGTATAGCGAAACTATATACTTGGCCGCTACTTCACATATGTGGTTACAAAGAAAGTACAGCAGTTAGCCGAGCACTCGATCTAACGCTCTTCAACTCGTTCAAATATTCAAGTGCGGCCATGTTTTTGTTTTCCCTGTTTGTGTTACTGTAATATGTTTGGAGAAGGAAGTGTGGAGTCGTTAAATATTTTAATCAGATTTGTCTATGTATAATATTACGTCCGTGAAATTGTTTGAAATAGTATAGTCAAGGAAAAATTAGTATTCTAATTGTATCTCAATGAAATACAGAGAAAAAACTGACTTTGTTGTTTTTGTGACGCCAATTTCATGTCCATGGGATCAACAGAAACAATGTGGCAGAAGTTTACGTTTTGTCCAGAGAAAGTACTGTCGTATAGGTAAAATGTAACCAGCATAATTATAAAAAGTCATTTTAGTATATTTGACCACTTTAAGATACTTTTACGTAGACTGTTCTTCTGGTCGAATATTTTATTTTTTACAGTATTGTTTATGAAATAAAAAGTAGAAAAAAAACAGTAATTTCCTCATCATAACAAAATATCTAAGGAATACAAGTTAAAAATGGGTTGAAATAGGTGGGGCAATGGTTGAGAAACCTATGTAGGCGTACTGAGGTAAAACGAGATAATAATGTGAATATGCTATAAGTGGTAAATTTGGGCTTAAGAAGCATTTTCGTGTATACTATTTTGTATTATTCTTGTTACATGTTCAATAACGCATGCAACGAATTTCATCTGAAGTCAACTACTTCTTCTATATAACAATAAAACTGTTAGTCATACAATTTTTAAAGTGCTCTAAGCTCTATATAAATAAAGTAAAATAAAAAACTAGCTAAAACAAAGTCCATTGTATTTTACGTGCTAACAGTAGAATCACGGCATTCAAACGTTTGATTAAACATATTTTTCACAGTTCCCCATGTTTCATTATTTAGAAAGCTATTACACTGAAGTACATGAAATGCGATCATTTTCATTGGGATTTATATATATTCATATTTTGGAAAGCTGTTGTAAACTTGTTTTAGTTTTCGTTTTTATCGTGTTTATTAAGAGGCTAAACAATGCTGGATAACATTAACTTTTAAGTATGTTGAATCTTTGTTACGCATTAGCAGTTTGCTTTCTATTATTGTTGTTTTATTTCGACTGCTACTACACTACGTTCTGTTTTACAAAACAAAGACGGCGTCAAAGACAAATATCATTATCCATTGTTGTCAGTTAATTATTTTCTAATGAGATTAGTATAAGTTTTAAATACTTAACGTACTTCCCCCTAATTGTCAGATTTGTGTGTAATGCAATAGTTAACTTTCTGGAGAAAAAATAAAAAGTCCTACGCGAGGGTTCTGTATAATTAATTCACTATTCTAGTGGTATATCAGCCTTTACTTTTTCTTTCGTGCTGTCATTTCCGTAGCAACCTGGTGAAAGATGCAACATACGTTTTATCCAACTTGTTCTTTGGTTGAAACATACCTTAAGGAATACTGGTGGGCTGTGAACAATAAGTACACAAAATATACAAGACTGTTTATACATCTCTGTCTAGCAGTAATCATAACATTTTAAAGTTTTGAATGTTTAAAAGTAAATAAATTTGTATTCTTTGAATGTTATATTAGATAACGGTATCTTCAAATAAAATCACTGGTGAACTTTGTGTCAAGAAGACTCATAGATAACTCTAAGGAAACTTATGAGACAAGCTTAAAACTACAAATACAACCGGCTGCTATCATACAACCCTCATTCTTGACAAACCAATGTTATTTCACACAGCTGACAGCTTTCTACACGAGCTCTCTTACAAAGTATGCTTATTAATGAGCAAAATTACAACAAAGGAAAACAAAACCCTTCATAACATACAAGAGAAAATAAAAACATTTTAAAAGTGAGATAGAGTATATATATATATAGATACCAAAGGTATAAGCAGATACACTGGAAAATCTAAGCTTAATTTGAAATACCACAAAACACGAAATAAAAATCATAATACAAACTAAAATGGATATCAATTGTGAACGAAGTATGAAAAAAAGCAGGAAATGAACACTGAAGGAAACAAGTAAAACTAGGGCAAACATTGAACTGTTGATCATTTAAAAAATGAAACAAAGGTAAACAGTATATTAAAACCAGTGATTAAAGTAGACTTCAAATTCCTTCAGTATATTAATCAAAGGCTTGGAGAGGCTGGTTTGGCTTCTCTTGAATGTGAACATTTTCTAGTTGTCCTATAACCACATTGTTTGGAAGTTTTGTTTTGTTGTGTTTATTTTGGGGGATGGGGCTTTTCGGCCTATGGTCCCTTTTGGGGTGAGCCCAGATATCGCTTTGGTGATGTCTTCACTTTTGATATCCCTCCAATGGGCAAGCAGCAACCTCCATGTCTTTTGGTCAGATTACAGCAATTGTTTAGTTGAAACGTCTGAGTCGAACAGCATAAACATTAAGGGTTAAGATGAGTCACTTGAACCACCAAAGGATAAGGTCAAATGTATTGGTTCCTTCAACACAATTTTATACAGTTCATTGAAACTAGGAGTCAAGCTGCTACTTCTTCATTAACATCTTGCCTTAACCCTCATCCTACATGGGCGAGATGATACTGAAGACAAAGATCAGGAGAATATGGTCCGCGTCTATAAATGTTCGAGTCAGAGAAGCATGTGCATCCGAAAACGTAATAGTATGCAAAGCTTTCATTTAATATTCCAGCTCAACAGTTGAGCTGACTCCGAAATCAAGTATGTCTTCGATGACGATCATAGGCACGAAAAAGTTTAAGTATTAAAACTTAAAGTACAGGCACAAAAATAGATGCAAAATTTAGAAGACTCAATCTTCAGAAAAGTCACAGCAATAATTAATATCTTAACTGTTGCTCTCTGCTAAGCCCAAATCACTGGTCAACCTTATTAGAGACAGTTCAATAAATCAATTTTCAGTTTATTATGGTTATTGGTTAAATGCACATTGCAACTATATGTTGAAGTTTTCCCACATTCCATAGATACTCTAAAACAAAGTATATTTTGTTGCAGCAATCTAGACAAGACTGCTATACTGCACTAAAATAAAGCTTAACTACATATATATGTGCCGACATATAGTAGCCAAGTGCTGCTCTTCCTGCACGTGAATTTACTGAGTGACACGATAAACTAAAGATAAAAGAAAATTAAAAAACTGCTTCAAGGAGTCTACAATAATATTACTGCAGCGGAAGCCTTACTGAACAGACTGTATATATATAATATAGTATTACCTACACTGCTGTGTAACTTGTCGAGACTACAAAACCCGCCAACTAATCTCTTGGCCCTTAGAATGCTCAAAGTGACTGTGATTTTATTGCTTTCGCACCTAAATGTGTCACAAGAAGGGAAACGACAACGTTTCGAAATTAGTTAAACTCTGCATCTTTTATTAGACAGCACGAAATAAAATATATTTTCTTGTATTTGAAAAATATTTCAAATTTCCTACCAAAACAAAAAAACTACTACTTAACTTTGAATCATTTTTTTTCCTGTTGTACACGACAACAGCCGAAATCTGTTTTTCCGAGATGACTTTGTACTGTGCTGAAAAGACAGCCTCTCAAATAGCATAATTTCTCTGTAACTATTCTTCAAACGGACAAGCTGCTTTCACCTGGCCGGAGTCGTACAGTGAAATCGTACTCCTGTAATGTTGTGATTCAACGTGCAATCATACTTTCTTGGCATTCTAAAGCTCACCAAAAATGCAACAATAGCTTATATGGTGAAATAACCTGATTGCTTTCTCTCTTTTATACGGAGGCTGTGTTCACCATTAGTCCTTGATAAGATCTTAAGACGATTTAAATGGATGACCACATTACACTCATTGAGGGGCCTAAGTATTCATAGTTTATTACGAAACATGACTTTTGTACTAAATGAAATTATGTTGGCTTTATCTACGTTCATTTATGCAATCCAATACTCTTGTTTATATTTTGGACGAACTTTTATGGTTTAAATACAGATCTGCATTTACCTGATGCACAGGCTATACTAACAGATAACATCTGTAGGACATCTAAACCTAAAATGTCAAGATTTGCTATTACTAATCTTGCATGTATAATAATGGCATCAACCGTGATGCCCCCCAGTGTCATAATGGTATGTCTGCGGACTTATACTACTAGAAACCGGGTTTCAATACCCGTGGTGGGCAGAGCACAGATAGCTCTTTGTGTGGCTTTGTGCTTAATAACAAGCAACAACATCAACCGTGATGAGGAGTTGTGATTCTCCATTCATTATAAGCAAATCGTCAAATCTGAGGAGGAAGACTGTGTTTACTAGGTGGTGGCTTCCATGATAATGACTGTTATACCGTGAGATTAAGTACAGTTTCAGCATTTCTTTATGGACTAACGTCTACTTCACATCTATGTAGTTTCATAGGCACATGCAAACCATACTCAGCCCTCTATACAGCATACTAGCCTCCATACCGGAGAGAACAGAAAGATGGCCCTATATACACTATACTAGCTTCCATACCGGAGAGAACAGGAAGATGGCCCTATATACACCATACTAGTCTCCATACCGGAAAGAACAGGAAGATGACCCTATATACGCCATACTACCCTCCATACCGGAGAGAACAGGAAGATGGCCCTATATACACCATACTAGTCTCCATACCGGAGAGAACAGAAAGGCGACCCTATATACATCATACTAGTCTCCATACCGGAGAGAAGAGGAAAATGGCCCTATATACACCATGCTAGTCT